GGGAAAAGGAATTTCACATAATCTGTCCTCTCACCATATTCTCCCAACATAGTTGTTTTCCTCAAGAGGTTATGTGTTCTCCATTATAGGAAATTGGAAAATTTTAATTTGGGGGATAGATACCCTGTGTAGGGTTTGAACACTTATAGCGAGAGTGATTCCTCCTTTTGAGTAGTATACACAAGAGATTGGAAATCGCCAAGTTTCCTGTTTCTGTCTAAATAAAATGCAAGTGACAGGGTGTGTTAAATGAGGAAAAAGGTGATTTGTACTTTAGGTCAAACGCACGTTCCCTCAACGTGGTTGCTGGGGCATCTTAGTAGGTTTAGTGGAACTGCTGCAGACTAATTAATACCTCGGCTGTTATTAGGCCTTCTGAGGTAGAAGGTGAGATCAATAACTTTCTGTCATTAAACGCTGACTTGGGGCAAAAGGCCCAATGTGGGCTTTCGAGTATTGGCCAACCCATGCTGGGTCTAGGGTGAAAGGAAAAATTTGGTGTTAGGAGGGATATTTCTAGGGTTTACGCCTGAGTACAAGAGGAAGTTTGACAAGAATTTGTTTTATGGTGACAGAAAAACTAAGTCGAAAAGAGGCGCTCTCCTGAATATAGATGGGGAGCGCAACAGGGGGCGGACTATTTTGAGTGATATCATATGGGAGGCTTTGACAGATATGGTCATAGAAAAAAAAATGGTTATAACAAATAATTTAGATTTGGAAAGAGGATTTTTTATTTAAACATATAATATTTCCAACAGAAAGTGATAGACCTCACTTACATATGTGTAACTTCAAAGAGTTGTGAGTTTGGGATGCCTAGATGTTGGCACGATAGTTGAGACGGAGGAGAAACCTCTCCACCTATGTCATAAATTATTTATTATCGCAAAAACCTGAGATGGTGCGGAATTGAAAACAATCCACTATAGAAACGGGGATGCTCTAAGATGACTGTTCGCACCATGGTCCTTCATTCAACCAGAATGTTAATTGAGTCGGTGGCTTTCTGTAATGTATGATGTTAAGGGAGAACGTGAAATGGCGGTAACTTTAAATGTTGGGTCAATATGTGCCACAGCCTTAATTTAAGACTTGAGGACAGAACTTAGCGGTCCCTTGTTTCATCAAATATAATGAAATGCATGATATGAACATATTAGAAGTCGATAGAATGAAAAGCGAAGAAAGGAGACAGAAAAGCTGGACACTTGTAGTAAAAGTAGAGAAGGAGAAAGAGGAGCACCTAAAGATATGGGGTACTATTGCTGAAGGAACAAGAGCATAAAGAATAGAGATACGCGAGAGGCTCCTGTCCAAAAAATGTAACAGAAAGGAAAAGTAAATGTTTAGACGAAGGAAAGGAGATGCAATAGGAAGAGAAAGTTAGGTTGAGAAAGAAAAGCAAGGTAAGTAGAGAGAAGGAAGCCAGAGAAAGGTATAGATCTTACGAGAAAAATTAGGAGAAAATTTCAGGAAACTAAGACTGAAGGAGGGAAAAGATAGAGGAAGCAGGGAAGACAGAAAAGATCAATTAAGCAAAGCCTAAGTAAAAAACATAAAAGGAAGGGTTGTTAGAAAGACTAAGGATTTAAGGAAAACGAACCACAGGGTAAAGGATAGGGAAAGTATAAAAGCTGGAAACAATAGTGGATGCATGAAGCAAAGTGAGCAAAGAAAACATTTTTAGGGGTATATAAAATTCGACTATATTAGATACAGAATTAACAGAAGAGATCCAGAAAGGAGTCTGTGTGTTACAAATGATATTGAAAAAAGTGAAACGAAAATACGAAGAAGAGTCAGTGTATGCTGAGACAGAGAAGCGCTGAATTAAGTGATGAAGAAAAAAGTCAAACTGAAGTAAGTGAACCTTAACAGAAAATAGAGAATTCTGAGTTCTTAGGCTTTTTTAAGAAAACATCCAGAATTCCAAAAGTGTAGATAGGACCGAAACTACTATTCTTAAGGATATTAGAATGGAGTCAGAGAGCTTAAAATAATTAAATATGATAAGACACTAAACAAGAGAGTGGGGTAACATGCGTAAAATGAGGGCAGCAATTGGATAAAGCCATCTGCAGGACTGTGATTAAGAAAACCTAGAATTCATCAGGTAATCTCATATGTAGATCCATATGGAAAGGGGATGAAAATAGAATCGATAGAAATCTGAAGGACAACAATGTATCTTAGCATCTCTGATTTGTAAGTGGGTTATAAAGGAACCCTCGCCTACACGTCCTACCTTCTAGAGAAACCAAAACGCAGGGTACAATGCATCCCACCTCAGAGCGGTATCAACCATAGCGACCTTTAATAGTAAAGACAGGTAAGCCTCCCAATTGCACTCCTTGCTATGCTAAACCGGTCCCAGCAAAGATCCTACAGTCTGTGAAATTTGCTGTTTCTTCTAATTTATTCCTTTTCTTCATTTTATTGCTTTCCTCTAAGCTGACCTGTGTTTTCTAACACCATTTTGTATGAATGACAAAAAGGGGGAACGAATGACAGGATATTCCTTGCAGAATAATCAGTTTTGGAATACGTACTCTGAGTGACCAAAAGTGGACTCTAATAATATGCATTTAATGATTAACAGCTGT